AAATTCATCCCATCTGTCTTTCAGGTTGGAGTACGATCACCTGACAGTTTGTGGAAACCAAAAGAGTGAAAATGGCTTTCAAAGGCAACGTGTAGTTATTCAGTCCCTTGCCTCATAATGTCATAGTGTCTTCATAATTTCTCAGTTAAGTGGTTTCTGTGAGCCTCACCTATGATCAACATTTTGCTAGAGTGGTCCATCTGCTCTTTACGAAGGGAAAAGGAATATAGTCATAACAGCGGTTAATAGAACTAATAGAAAGAGACGGTGGCCATCGGGAATTTCAGGGAAACATGTTCATTTTCCCGAACGGCCGGTATATTTCCGGGGCCGGTCGTGGAAGCCCCGCGGCCTCCCACAGGTCGTCGATCATTTTTCTGCATGACATGGTTGCAACCTGTCCTGTTGATGACAACTTGTCAATGCATGACGACCCTCTTCAAGGACATAATAGACACTGGAACATTTGTATTTAATCCGAATGATTTTTGCTGACCTTTTTTTTTTTTAAACCCATTTGGTTCATGTGTTTAACCAAATTATCCTCCGTGTCCAATGCAGATCTTATTCCATTGGGGACCAAGCAGCTAGGCTTAACACCTGCTTTGCCTGGCAGAGCGTCCGGGGGTGAATGGATCCTGCTATAAATTGGTCTCAGTGTGATTGTGTGCACATAAAAAAAAAAAAAAAAAAGTGTGTTTGTGCCTGAGCACTTATGTGGTTTAGTGTGTCAGCTCGCTTTCCAAAGGAAGTGACTTTTATCCTGTGTCCGTTCGGGCCAAATTCTCAGCCAGAGAGGAGTGAAAGGGACACTATTCCCTCCAGTGGCAGCACACAGAGCCCCTTCAGCGCAGCGGAGGGGCAGAAGGGCCGAGAGAGAGGGAGAGACAGAGGGAGGGGGGAGAAAGAGAGAGAGAGAGAGAGAGAGAGAGAGAGAGAGAGAGAGAGAGAGAGAGAGAGAGAGAGAGAGAGACCCTTCTCTATCGTCATGTGAGGACAGAGAGATAACCGTTGACAGTAAAGAAGGTGACGGAAATGGAGAGGGGCCAAGCAAGGCAACATCTGCCTTTCATGTTGTTTGCGCTTTCACTTATCTCACTGCCGACATACAAACGCACGGACACCATGGCGAGATACTCTTACCTTCTTAAACTGTCAGCGGAAATACTGCATTGTCAAAACGCAACGCAGCTGCAACGTTGTTGTCTAAAGTGTTATTTAATTGCTAGTTTATTGGCGTTTTAAATTGTTGAAGCACCATGTTGGTTGCTTGCGGATGAAACTGAAAACTGGTCATGTGCTGTTTTTTTTTCCCAGAGGCGTTCTTAGAGTGCTCACACCAATCCTGACTGAGCAACCACGTCACTGGTCGCACTGTGACAGTTATTGTTTCTGCTGTGTTGTTAATCTGTTTTTCAAACTGATGTCGACTGTCAAAATTAAATTTTAACTTCAAAGTCCTTAAAATTCCTTTTGCAACATCCTCTCATTCGCATACTTTTGACACAGCATCAGGAACAACTGTGGTTTCAGAATCTTGCTCAAGGGCACTTTGGCATCACTTGCGGGATAATCAAGAAGCTTGTCTATTTCATCCACTGTTGAACAAAGAAAAAAGAAGCAGATACACCGAGTAATGATAGTACCCTCTGCTATCTCATGCAAGCGCATTTCATTGTTCTCCTTGTCACTTCCCATTCCTGGCAGAAATAAATGACCAAGCACACATTCTTTGAAGTGAATATTTTTTCTTCGGACCAATCGTGTTAACAGAGATACGATCCCACTGCATGCTAGATAGTCTCTCACGGAACAGTAATATGTTGCGGCAACAGGAATTGAATAGTTTACAATTTTTAAGGTGGTTCTTATTTTGATTTTGACTTTTTTTTTCATTAATTTTTAAAATTAGTTTTTAAAACGTGATCGGGAGTTTTTATTCATTTTACTTTTCGTAAAAAATGAATGGATAATATACTGTAGGGAGAGTCGTACGCACAAGGTTTTTCTTTCGGTTGTCTTAAAAACAAAACAAAAAAGAACATGCCTGCATCGGCAGAGCCATCATACCATGAGAATAAACACACATTTAGTGACCCATAGAAGCATTGACCAGTTTTCCAGCACGCAATAAGTCATTGTTTGAGTATGTGTTGGGTTACTGAATCGGACCACATGAGCTGTGCGATTGCAAAGTAGCGAAAGGGACCGAGGGCTGCTACTTCTGCTCATGGACCAAGGCTGCCGAAGCCTTCCCAGTTTTCACATGATCGCATTGTAACGCCGAGCTATATTTTAATTTGACAGGCTCTGGCCGAACCGGTGTGTTTACAAATGTCCAACAGATCGCAAAGAAACATGGAAAACCTCATTCTGCTTTTATCTTTTAAGTTAATTCTAGTTGTTTAGCACAGCCCTACACTGGCTCTGTTCTGTATCTTCTCACTAAGTGCTTGTTTTTGGTGATCTCAACCAGACATGAAACTTTAATGTACCCTGTGAATTGGATGCACACATGCTACTGTAAATGTGCACCGTCCGGGGCCCAAATCCAAGCCCAGCCACCAGAAAACAACAAAACAAGGCCAAGCTCCATGGCTCGAGTCCCAAAATCTCCCGCTGCACCGCCATCGCTGACCCCCGCATATTTTATGGGGTCGTAGGCATTCAGTGGGCTGTCACGGCTCATTAGGGGCTTTAGTGATGAACTTGCACAGTAGAGTCTCTCACTGATTTATGAATGCGAACAGATAGAATAGACATAAGAATGGGTTGGTGAAGAGGTCAAAGATGAACACGTTATTCTAGAAGTCCTTAGAAACATTTGCTGGAAGATACACGCATGCAGTAGCTGAGTTAGTACATGAACCAAACTAAATTAATTAATCTCTCGACACTGACTGAACACCATTGAGATTATTAATGTTCCCATCATGAAACTGTCGATAAACATGCGGAATTATTGCTCGACAGAAACTTCCCACTCTCTCAGGGGAGCTTCCTGTTGTTCGACTTCAGTTGTGTGACATCAACTTTGAGGTCAGTTGTAATGAGAACTTGCTTACTTCCATACCTCTTGTTGGGGCAAAGATCCATTCGGGAAGGACTTGGACCAAAAAAAACAAAAAAAACACAACAACAACAACAACAAAAACCCCCCAAGAGCAACATCCCAAACTTAACTTCTGCTCCATCCTTTCTCATAGCCCACAGCTGTATTAGGCTTTCCCTCCATGTTGCACACCACAGACTGGTCACATGGTAGCTCACAGGGAACCCTCAGCGCTGGTCGGCAAAAGGAAGTTCCCAGGGTGATGGGGTCCTTTGCGAGCTATAAATAAGCTGACCGCTGTGTGTTTGCTGGTCAAAGAGCAGGTGAGGATGCCAGCATTTGCAAATCTTTCCCAGAAAAACTCTCTGACGCTGATTATTTAACTACACCGTTTTCTAAATAATATTGACTGGAAGCTTTGAAGTGAGAAAACTGCTTTTTCCCGTTTTCATAGACCCAAAAGTGCTTAAGGTCTGTTGAAGATTTTGTCATACACTAATTTCTGTCCATACTGTAAATTGAACCAACACAATGGCAGAAGGCCTGGAGGATTATACTTATCCAGCTCATGAATAAGTGAAGATCCTTAGACACTTTCACACCCCCCTAACCAGACATGCAGCCCAACATTTGCAGCTGCTCCTGGATGGCCTCCGGTCATCTAGACACTCTTTCATCTGCTTCCGTTTAGACCCTCCCCTGCTTTGTCCTTATTGTTGCCCCAGTGAGTAGAGAAGAGTTAGGTGAAATACTGTAGATCAGCGGTTCTCAAAATACAACAATATAATATGATATGACCTGCATGAAAACTGTGATATTTTCTAAATATAAAAATAAACACGAATCATGACACGAGGATCGTCCTATCTGGCCGCAACGCTCTCTGGTCGCTATGGTCACGTTTAAACGTGCCTTCAAAATAAGATACATCGCAAATACAAAGTGCATGAAAAATACGACTCACCATTGCCGCAGATTATGCAGAGTGGGCTAGGTGCGTGGGAATCTCCCGTTGAGATAAATCCGTATTTTAAGTAGGACTCCTCATACTGTCGATTAAATGTAGCCTTCTTTTTCTTGAAAGGCTCTTGAAAGGCTCAGCCAGGAGACAGCCCCTCTGCTGTCTCCTGGCTGAGCCTTTTCCCCTTTCCCAAAGACGTTTGATTTGGGTTTTTTTTTTACTCATTTTGCTAGCTCCTGGGTTTCATTTTAGCGCTAACCTATCAAATGACCAAGAATCTCGCCTTGACCTGCGTCAAAATTGACACAAAAACGTACCATGCACATTTTTGGAATGTGGGAGAAAACCGCAGTACCCAGAGAAAACCCACGCAAGCACAGGGAGAACAGGGAATGTCCACACAGGAAGGCCGGATCCCGGATTCAAATCCTGGACCACAGAACTGTGAGGTGGACATGCTAACCATTTGGCTACTGTACTGCCTGACAATTGTGTGGCACATTGTTGAGTATCAAGCTAGAAATAACACTCATTAGCAAAGCATATCAATGTAAATTAAGCTCCTTGTAATATCTGTCTCTAAGCGGTCTCACAGATTGGGTATAACTCTGTGGTGCTTGAGAGTTACTCACTCATTCCTCTGACCTTTTTTCTCTGTGAGGTCAGTGAAAGGTCTGAGGAACCTGCTCAATAATTAAAGAGATTTCAGCACAATGCTCTCAGTATGCGCAAAGTACCATCTCAGAGGTGTTAAGTGATGGCTCATGAGATGGGAAATGAGAGTTGTTTTGAATGACCAAGATGTAAAGAACACTGCCGATTGTCAAACCTGTGTGAGTAATCTTAAAGAGGTGACAAGTCGATGAATATTTTAATTATATGCTAATCATGCAATTTGCCCCGATCTCTTTAGGAATGCTTATGTCTCATTTTAATGTCTGAACCCAATGGTCACTTTTTTTTTCCTTTTATTTTTCATCCTGACAGGCGGAGAAGAAATGGGGTATGATTAGGCGGTGGGAGTCTTCGTCTCAACAAAGAACATAGATGGTAAAACATTTCTCAATCAAGACTGTTTATCTAATTGCAACATAAGACTCCAGTTGAACTGGCAACCGCAAGATTTGTTTAGCGCCGTTCTGCGCTGCGGTTTTAATGAACTTCTGCATACTTACTGAACTGATTATGTGTTCCTATCACTCAGGTTTGAGCACGCATACAATGCTCAATAGTATAACTTTATTGAATGCTACAATTTTCTGCCTAGACTCAACAGTAGGCACCTAACAGCTCCCGACAGATCAGAAGTCTTCAATTTAAACAGTGTGTAACCCTGCTGCTTTTCCCCTCTTCAGAATATCTGCCATGCTACATGGGAAGGCTCAGAACTCCTCCCTACTCTTGTTTTTCATCATCGTCATCATCGTTGCCTTGGTCCATGGTCACTCTTACCCAAGTTTTTCCCGTGATGACACCGAATTCCAGCACCTGGTGCTCCATCCCGACCCATCCATAGGGAAAGTCTATGTGGGGGCCAGGGACCACCTGTTTCAGCTGGATGGATTAGATGGACTTCGGTTGGAACAAGAGGAGCAAACTGGACCTGTGAGTGACAGCAAAGACTGCATCCCTCCTGTGACAGAGTCCAACTGTCCCCAGGCCAGGAGAACCAGTAACCACAACAAATTACTGCTGGTGGATCCGAAAGGATCGGAATTGATTACCTGCGGCAGTGTATACCAAGGCACCTGCCAAAAACGGAGCCTGACGTCAATCAGTGAGGTTCTTTTCTCCACTGAGAGGCCAATGGACACTCAGTACGTGGCAGCCAATGATCCGTTGGTTTCAACCGTGGGGCTTGTGGTGGGGCTTCGGGGTGGGGAAAGGTCTGTGATGTATGTGGGTAGGGGCTACACCGCCAGCCAGCCACCAATTTCCACCCGACACCTTTCATCAGAGCCGATTTTTTCCTATGAGGAGACGGCTAAGCTCGCCGTCGCTGGTCGTATGTCGGAATATGACCACCATTTTGTGACCACATTCACACGGCGAACATACGTGTACTTTTTGTTTTACCGCCGAGACATAAAGTCGTCATCAAGGGAATATCAGACCTATGCGGCCAGGGTTTGCCTTGATGACACCTCTTACTATTCCTATGTGGAAGTTCCTCTCGTTTGTCGATCGCCCTCCTCCCCTTCCAGAGTTTACAACCTTCTCCAAGCAGCGCAGGTAAATGTAGTATCTCTCCTTCAAACGTTTTGTTGCTTCTGTCTTCAGCTCAAGATTATACCACTGCTGTGGCACGTCACTGAATTTCTTCGATTTTGTCCCACTTCGCCTTATCTCTAACAGGTGGGTCAAGGTCAAGACAGGGAGGGCGAGGACTTATTGGGAGTTTTCTCCACCCGTGTCAGCGCCACGAACCAAAATCCCTTGGATGGCTCAGCTCTGTGCATCTTCCATCTGGATGCGCTTGACAGACGCATTGACTCCATAAGAGACCTGTGTTACACCCAAGATGGGATGTTGGAGGATGGAAGAGAGGTGGCCTACATCGAGTATGAGGTCAAGTCGAGTTGCGCCAACTTACTCAGGGTATGCACACAGGATATAGATATTTTGTAAAACTGGCATGTTTCTTTTATCTTGTCTGTTATCCTACTCCCCTGGAAAATTGCACTCTAAACCTTTTTTTATGTCCTTGTAACAGCTTGTACACTGGCTAATAACTTTATGTGGGCCATTACCATAGATCATTTCCTGCTATTTACTCACCTCACTTGGTGTCAGTGGCCAGAGAAAGCGTAAACATAGTAAAAGTCCAGTCAAGCAACAAAGTGTGGCAGCTTTAGTGGGATTAAACTGCATTATGCTATGCAGTGAAGTGATTTTTAGACAAGTCTTGTAATTAGGCCACGGGAGTGAAGCCCAGATGCCCCAGAAGTAGCTTTGGCCAGCTGCAACCCTCTCGTTCAGCCCCGCTGCTGTCCACAGATGCTGACATCTTGGCAGTTGGAGTTCAGTAAACCAAGGCAACTTGGAATCAGCGTTGTACAACGATGTAATGAGCACTAGCAAGGAGGAACAAGGTCAAAATGGACAACATGAAAGGACAAAGACAAGCGCCGCCAGAAAAATGACCACAGAAAAGAACTGAAGAAATGCAAAATGAAACTAGAGAGGCAAAAGGATAGATGACAATAAAATGTGGTTTTCAAGACGCAAACATGAAGCAGGGTTGAAAAACGTTGCCATTTCTCACATTTTTCCTCAATCTGCAGCGTTTTGAGACTTTGCAGACAAGAAATTTAGATTGGGTTTGACACGCTTTGATTGATGCTGTACACCCGTCGCAACGATTGAAAAACATTAAGTCATTGGAGAACCAACAGGAAGTCATGAAGTGACCAAAGATTAGATTAGAAGACATCCAAAACAGGATCTCTCGAACATTACGGTGTTTGGTGACAGTTAAACATGAATTAAATTCCTCTATCGTCAAATGTTTTTCTCTCGCAAAGGACAGATCAGCTTGGAATAAACCATAGTCACGTCTATGTTGCAGAATACACTTCAAGCATATCCCTGCGGCTCCGATCACACCCCGAGTCCAATGGCGAGCAGAGTGCCGGTAGTAGCCAAGGCTGTGTGGCAAACCTTTTCTACCCACCTCACGGCTGTGGCTGTCAGTGTGAGGTATGACCACAGCATTGCTTTCCTGGGAGACTCCAAAGGGACACTTCACAAGGTAGCTCATCACATTCATCACTCAGCACTTAACTCCCTACAGTTTTTGTGGCAAGTTGTTGTTGTTTTTTTTTTTGTACATTAAATCAGCGGTCCCCACCCTTTTTTGCCCCACGGACCGGTTTAATGTCAGACAATATTTTCAGGGACCAACCTTCAAGGCCGGATAAATACGACGATATAATGTGTTATGACCTGCATGAAAACTGTGGTATTTTCTAAACATAAAAATAAAGACGAATCATGACACGAGGAACGTCCTATCTGGCCGCAACGCTCTCTGGTCGCTCACGTTTAAACGTGCCATCAAAATAAGATACACCGCAAATACAAAGTGCAGGAAAAATACAACTCACCATTGCCGCATATTATGCAGAGCAAGCTTGGTGCGTGGGAATCCCCCGTTGAGATAAATCCATATTTTAAGTAGGACTCCTGATACTGTCTATTAAATGTAGCCTTCTTTTTCTTGAAAGTCGTAGGCTCCTTTTCTGTCTCCTGGCTGGGTCTTTTCCCCTTCCCAAAGACACTTTCCAAAGACGTTTGTTTTTTACTCATTTGGCTAGCTCCCGGGTTTCATTTTAGCGGTAACCTATCACGTAACCGAGAAGCGCGCCTTGACCTGGGTCGAGTGACAAACTGTAGACTGATGTAACAGAGAATCCGGTAATTTTTCAACGCAAAACATCTTTCAGATTCCGAAATCAATGAAACGGAAGTAATGTAAGTACTTATTCTTTCTGTACAGCCCGGTATCAAATGACCCATGGAGCGGATACCGGTCCGTGGCCCAGGGGTTGGGAACCACTGCATTAAACAGTTTCTTATAAGGTCAAAAAATATTTCAAGAATGTTTCCCCTAAATATTTAGAATTGCTATTTGAAAACCCGGCATTGGAGGTTGGATAAGTGCTGGAATGCACACGGCAGCGGTACCTAGTTACTTGATTCACTCCTCAGAAAATTGAGCACACTTTGCACCTGTTAAAACATGAGCAACAAATGTCAGCTATTGTTAACACTTTGAAGATTTCAGTCATTCCGTCCTTCACAGAACTCCGGCACACGCAGAGAAGCATAGCTCCGTAATCCTGCCATTTGGTTTTCATTACGTGCACTTTATTATGTGATTGTTGGACACTTGGAAAGTGATGCATTTTTTGAGCTAAGATTATGAGACAGAAATTTATTTTTCTTTGTTTTGGAAGACGACTGACCAGAAATATTATTCCACGCGCAAGCCACACTTGATTTTGTAACTGCCAAATCAGCGGCTGAGTATAACCACCTGTAGCGCACTGTTGACATCCATCTGATCAGGACTCTTAAAACTGACGTATTTCATGAATAAAGACATGGATTTTTATAAAATCTGCACGAGTACATTACTTCTAAACCACCAAGCACCACAGAACAACTTTCATTGCCATTATGTGTTGAGTGCATCCTCATAATGGGGATTCTGCTCGCAGTGATCGCGTGCCGCCGGATGGAGAGAGGCAGGAAAAAATAAAAAAAGTCTCCTAATCTCATAAACATGAGGCAACATGAGAGTTTGAAGGCTGGGGAATCATTTGAAACCAGGGGTGTCTTCCTCTGCTTATATTGGATTTTTGAGTGTGCTAATCACATTCATAGCCACTTCGGCTGCGATCTTGCAAACGTTTTATTGGGTTTAGGGCTAAACGTTTTTGTATCACCAACAAAAAAAATAGTGCTCCATATGGCCAATTCAGCAATGCAGTACTTGAACTTCTGAATGATCCAAGCAGGGCTGTGAGTCACAAGAAGGTGTCATGCCATATCGCCCATGAAAAAAACTGCTTTCAACTCTTCATTACCGAGAAGGTGGATCAAGGCACAACCTAACCATTGGTGCTGGCCTCTCCCCGAGCAGTTTTCTGGGTGCGTTGTCCCAAGTTTTAAATGCATTATTATACAAAATGGGCACATACTTGTACATCCTATTGCCACACTCGCAGGGCAAGCTAACCTAAATTAAAAATAGATTTTTTGCCATTGATCTTTCCCAAAATTGTCAGAGCAACGGATGTAGTTTTTGTAACTTAGTTATATATTTTAACCCTTTCAGGGACAGCGGTCACTACATTGGACACCTTATCATGTTATCAGGTTACAGGTTATTATGATTGGTGCATGAAAGGGTTATTTAAATAACATTTTTAGTATAAGTTTGTTTGCCTCTTGCTCTAACACTCCCAACCATTGTAAACTTTATTTCATTTTTCATGTACTTTCAAAACTGTGTCGCTGAAGAACCAATTAAAGCATCCCCAATGTTTGTCAATGCACTGCGACAATAGAATACCTTCTTCATCAATGTAATATTGATGTTCTATCCATCTACTTTGTGCATGATATGGAGTGTCTGTATCCTCGAATGGTCTTTCTCAGGTGTATCTGGGCCAAGATGGCCAAGTGGAGGTGTATGCCAATGTGACCATCCAGCCCAACTCCCCCATTAACAGCGACCTCATACTGGACCAGAAAGGCGCGCACATCTACATCATGACCAAAGCTTCTGTAAGTCGTATCGGAGGATGGATAGATACACTTTCATGGGTGAATCAGTAATTCTTCTTTCACGTCTTTCCTGTTAACTTCATAAAGGAGAGGTGCGGATAACAGTCTACAGTTTTTAACTCGTGAGCCTGATATATTTGTTTGTTGTCATGATAAGGTAGTCTTCTCTTTTGTTCTTTAATCATTATTTTAAAGGGTGGAACTCTCTGCCCTGTCATGACACATCTTGAACTTGGCAACATGAGCATAACCAACTTGGTATTCTTTTGTGTTGCGACAAGTAATGTAAATATAGCCCGATTTGGATCGGGTCCACATTTGGCTGAAAATCCAGTTTGCATTAATTTTGTTTTCTTGGATTCAGAGGAAGTTCTGGATGAATTTGAATCCCCTTCAAGGTATTAAAATCTGAGACTATGGCTGCGCATTGATTTTGCAGGTGCGACAAAATCTTGGCTCCCTTGGTGTGCTCTTGTTTGAAATAGTTTAGCAGCTGTAGCCTTTCCAGTGTGGTGGCCTGTCCATTCAACCAACAGCCAGATGTCTCCATGCAAAAGACTGAAAATGGTCCGTCACTTGTCTCCAGATAATTGATTCTTTGTCACCATTGTCCACACTTTGATACTTCCTCAAGCTGCGTCTCCCGCAGACAAACTGGCATAAAGGATCACAGGGCAAGGAGCATAATAGCAAAATGAGAGCAGCTGTTTGGTCAAGGCCAAAGGTCACTCACCTTCTGTATTGGACCCAACAGTTAACGGGAGGTGTGGGGTCAGACACAACAATAGTATTGATCAGAGAAAGCGGCCACTTTTGTGAAGGCATACTCCCGACAGAGTGTCTGTGTGAGAAGCTGTGAGATTTTCTTCAGAGAGCCCACTCTTTAAATTTGAAATCCTGAATGAATGTAAATGGACTACAACTTGGTTAAAAGGATACATTTGACCTTCAGGTAGAGAAGCGTCCTGTGGCAGAATGTGCCGATCATCTCGATTGCCAGTCCTGTCTGTCTGCCAATGACCCATACTGTGGCTGGTGTGTCCTGGAGGGGCGGTGAGTCTGCGTGCAACTTTGTTTTTGCAGAACGGAGCCCCACTGAAGTTATGTTCTCATGCTCTTTGCTTGTATTTCGTGCTTACAATGCACATTGGTACTTCAGGTGTGGACAACGTTGGGAATGCCGGCGAGGGTCAATCAAGGGTCAGTGGTTGTGGAGTTTCAACCACACACAGCAGTGCCTCAGCATCCAGCATCTCAGCCTATACAACATCAGCCGCGGGGAGAAGACAAATGTA